CTGGGGAATCCTGGGAGTTGAAGTCCACCCATCTTAAAGTGGCCAAGGTTGAGAAACACTGCTCTGGAGAGATGACCTTCTCCACTGGGACATCTCAAAACAGACAGCCCCTCTATTTTTTCCAACACTGTTGTCTGCTCTGCTGTGCTGATGCATCCTTACCTAAGCAGCACCCTACTCCCCCCCACAAGTATGGGACTGCTCTCCCTATCTTCCTCTGCCAGCACAACCGCAGGCCTTCCTGCAGCTTCTGGGATCCGTAGTCCCAGCATCCGCGGTTCCTAGTCCAGATCCTTGCACAGCCCAGGGGAATCTAGCTTGGAAAGGACCTTGCAACCCCGTGGGTCCCATTCCCCCCAAGGCCAGCCTGGTTCGCACGACAGGAGGGCTCGGCAGCCTTTGACCACATCTCATGGCCTACGCCACCGGCCAATCCTGATTGGCTGAACCCAGCTTACTGTGTAAGGCAGAATTGGCTGGGGTCGGCTAGCAAGCCACGAATTATGGTTTACAAACCAGAGCAACCTGTGGTGTAACTGGTCTTATTAACTGGGCCCTCTCGTTGTGACCAGTTAGGGCTGTTGCACCAGCGGCTGCCTTTCTGGGAGCAGGAGATGGTCAGTCCCGCCTCCATCGCTAGACTACTGTGACACTCTTTGTGCGGGGCTGCCCTTGACGGCTACTCGGAAGCAGGAACTGGGGCAAAAGCAGCGCCCCCCTTGCTATCGGGCGTGAGCCTCCACAGCCAGGTCACGCCAGACGCTGCCTTGGCTTCTGAGTGCAACTCCAGGGATCCCCTTGCAAGTCCAACCATTCCCATTGGGGGGGCTGGAGGCAGCGTCCCCTCCTTCAGCCTCTTCCCTTTGGGATGAGACCCCTGTGGGGGTGGTCGATCCAATCACTGTTGCTATTTTGCTCTTTTTGCTCGCTGTATGTTATGGTTCAGCTGTGAACTGCCAGGTGCCATTCTGTATATTGTAAATCAATACATTGAATAAAGTGGTTTTCCTCTTTTCGGATGTAGCTATTCAGTTAATCCGGGTTTAAGGTCGAGGCGTGGCGTGAACCCTGCCTAAGCCGGTGCAACTGGACTCTGCAAGGAAAACTTTGGCGAGCCTAGCCAGCCTTCCCCAACCTGGTGCCCGCCCCTCCCCTGCCCCTCTCGTGTGCAGGCCCGTTCCCCCAGCTCATCCCAAGACAGCTCTCTCTTTGGGACCCCCCGGAGGGAGCCCGAAAGCCTGAGGGCCACTCGCCACATCCTGGGCTACTCACTTGGCCACCGAAGTCGCCATGGTGCCGGGCTGAGTCTTCCACCCCCTTCTCTCTTCCTGGTGGGACCGAGCGCGTCGCCAGCGGCCAGAGCTCTCTGCCCGCCCAGTGCTGGTCAGGAGGCTGTCCTGGGCAAAGTTTGGCCAGTGAAGGTCCACCACCAAACTCACCTCCCAGCTCATCCCCCCCGACTCCTACGAAAGCGGGGCGGGCATTGGGCGGCCAGGAGCAGCCAGGCCACGCGTGCTCCCCCCTCCCTCCCCCCAGGACCTTTGCTTTGTCAATATTATTTCTCGCCAAAGCGGTCAAGTGTAGAATTGGCCAAGAAATGCTCTACAGATTGGGGGCAGGGGGAGGCAGAAGGGGGACCAGCATTGAGCAAATCTCCAGTATGGAATTCAAAGGCACCACTGGAGGGGGGGGTAGATGTCCAATGCAAACAGCTAAAAGAGCTCCCCCCAACCACCCTCTGCCAGATGGGCTGGACATCAGCTCCCATGATCTATGGCCCCCTGCAGAGGCATCCACCAGGCGTGGTCAAAAAAGTCAAGATGGCAGCTGTGAAGGTGCACCTAAGCTCTGCCATCTTGACTTTTTTGACCATACCTGGTGGACACCCCTGGCTGAGGATTGTGGGAGTTGGAGTCTTGCAGGCCACAGGATGGGGGAAGCTGAAGGAAACCAAGCACAATTGCTGGGCCTGCGTTCCATTCAAAGCAAGCTAAGATTTGCTGTGCACATAAATGCTGACTGTTGGGTACTCCCAGGGGCCTAAAAAAGGGCAGGAACAGGCTGCATTTGCATGTCAGCATGCTGCCATGGTTAAAGGAACCATGGTTTATGCGAGAAACCCGATTTTCTGGGTCCACGTGACCCAGAAAGCCATCTAGCCACACACTAGACTAACTTCTGGTCGGTTAATTTGTGATTGAGGCTGCCCTACAAACCCAGTCTGTATCGTGTGATTAGTTCCTGCTTCAGCAATGGCAATGAGTTTGATTCGGCAATCCATGGTTTAGTTAACCAGGAGTTACCCAGCCCATGAACAGTTCAGTCCAGCTCCCCCTCTTTCCCTCCAGCCCTACAATAGAACCCCTTGGGATGGGATCCCACCCCCGCTGCAGCACCTGTTTGCTTTCCCGGTGGACTTCCCGCCTGCCACACATCTGTGCGCGGGAGGGGCCGGCGCTTAATTG